GGTAATTCGATTAAGATAAAGAGTCTAGGGTGTGAGGTCCGCGGTTTGCCGACCCATGACCGAGAATATGTAGTTCCTCGGTTAAGGAAGTAAATGTTATATTATTTAAACAAGGTTGCTTATTTTACTGCAGGAATCAGGATAACAATTACCACAATCAACAAAAAATGCATTCCTTTGAATGTTCCAATAGACACTAAAAGCAAAGAGCCTGATTCGTAAGTGGTGAGAATTTAGAATCAGCTCGGTCAGGAGTTAGCAACCCTTTGGAAAGAGCGAGACAGAAACTTATACAGTGTCTCGTAGGAAGGAGCCATGATATCAAATTTATTATAATAAATTGTCTTGTTTTCAGGCCGCTCCGTGCCGAAGGCTGCTCTGATTTCGATGTTTAAAGAAAAATTAAAGTACACCTTTCACGTCCCACTGACCATGTCTGGTGAATTAAGACGTTGATTTGTGAATTTGGCGACATGGTAGTTGAGAGTTCAGTCCCTGGTTCGGGCAGTGTGGACATAGACTCAGGTGAAATTGTCTCGTTTTCAGACCGCTCCGTGCCGAAGGCTGCTCTGATTTCGAGGTTTAAAGAAAAAAACCAACATTATATATATATATATTATTTAAACAAGGTTGCTTATTTTACTGCAGGAATAACATGATAACAATCACCACAATCAACAAAAAAATGCAAATTCTTTACTGCACATAAAATGCTGTTAGAAATGGCGAATCATTTAATGTGACAATTGTTTCTGCTTATTGTTCGATAACTTCTCCACATCAGGTGAAATATTTGACGATGACAGGAACAAAACATCATCCAGAGGGTCATCATCGAACCTTTGTACTTAAACGACTTTTAGTATATTTCATTTTCGATAAAACTTGTGCACAAACATATGTGCGTCCAAATAATGATGCCATCATTTTTGCATTATTGAATAAGTTTTTATATTTCCCTCTTTTCTTGTAGAAGTAATCAGTGGAAGCGGAATTAAAATATGATTTTAAAAATTCGTCTCCATTGTAAGTCCATTAACACCAATTCATACTGTTCTGCCGCTTTCAGCCCAAATTAATTACATAATTAGTGTCCCGGTGCTAAGTTGGTAGGCCGGACAGAAATTATTCGCGGGCCGGATATAACCCGGAGGTCGAGGGTTGCTGATCTCTGGTTTATACTGACGCCTAATTTGTTTCGAAATATCATGACCTTCTTTTTATGTGCCGTGTCCCTTCAGGACGTTGGCGATCATGGCTCTCCACTTCCCCCCTATCCAATATATCCCTCAATAAGTTTCGTCCCTCTGCCACCTCCCCCAGATCACGTTCTGTCATCCCCGTCAGGTATGTCATGCATTACTTTCCTTAGTTACACTTTCACTCTATACGCCCTGTGAGTATCAGATTCTCCAAGCCCTCCTTTCTCATTACGTGTCCTAGAAATATCAGCCTCCTCTTTCTGATGTTAAGTATAAGCTTCCTCCTTGTTTGCATCATCTCCAAGACCTCATCGTTGCTCACATGCTCGGTCCATGATATCCTTAGCAGTCTTCTGTAGAACCATGCCTCCGTTGTCTCGAGTCTCTTCTTCATCTTTGTGGAGACCATCTAACATTCGCTGCCGTAAAGAATTACAGATATGACGCATCTTTTGAAAATTCGTATTTTCCTGATTTCAGATTAAAAAAAAAAGATTTGAAATTTATTGACATAATTCAGTGAAATTTATTTCTTCATAATTATCATATATTGTTTACAGTATTTACATCCAGACTATTGTCCTCATATTTGTTGTTGCTATCACAACGTTTCAGTCATTGTACACTCCGGCCTTCCTCAGGTGTATATCGCTCTGTATAACCTACGTGGAATTCAGAACTGAACCGTTTTATTTAATCTACGGAAGTACACCGTTCAAGTCCTACTGACCATGATTAGTGAATTTGGTGACATAGTAGTTGAGAGTTCAGTGCCTGGTTCGGGCAGTGTGGACACAGACTCAGATACGAGATCAATAACTGTGTAACACTAAAAATAAGAACCAGACGATATCGGTAGACATGGGCAGTGAAATGAAAACAGTGGTTTTTAAAAAAAAAATATCAATTCACTCCCACTAAGCCGCAAAGGCCAACGGGCAGTGACAGAGAATGAGAAAACTTTAGAAGGAACCGGAAATCCAAACCTAAACAGGAAACAAGGAATAAACCTCTTTTGTTCAAAAAGTAAGAGTATGAAGCGGGCAATACGCAAACCTATCTATACCTATTGAAAAATTGTAAATAAAAAGTAAATAACAGCTAAGAATTCTAAACGAGAGCGTTAAAAGTAAAGACTTGAAGTAGACTTTAGAAGGAATCGGAAACCCAATCCTAAACAGGAAATAAGTGATAAACCTCTGTTCTCGTTCGAAATACCGAGGAGGAGTGTGAACTGGTCGATAGGCGGGCCTATCTACACCTATTTGGGAAAAATTAAAAAAAATATATAGTAAACAAAATTTCAGAGTTTAGGTGGATGTGTTAGTAGCATAGAGATGAAGTAGACTTCAGAAGCAACCGGGAAACAAATCCTAAATAGGAAGCAAGGGATAAATCTCTATTTCAGTTCGAACTGTCCGGGAGGAGTGTGAACCAGGCGATAGGCGAACCTATCTACTCCTATTAGTGAAAGATTTTTAAAAAATATAGTAAATAAAATTTCAGAGTTTAGGTGGAGGTTTTAGAAGACGATAGACGAACTTATCTACTCCTATTAGTGAAATATATATATATATATATATATATATATATATATATATATATATATATAGAGAGAGAGAGAGAGTTGCAAATTAAAAAAATAATAATGTTTTTTTGAAAGTATTTGTTTATTTATATATATTTGATATTTCAGATCGACCTCGATCTTTCTCAGAAATAACAGTTATTTCTGAAGATCAAGGTCGATCTGAAATATCAAATATATATAAATAAATAAATACTTTCATAAAAAACATTATTATTTTTTTAATTTGCAACTTTTTCTATATATACATATTAAGAAAGTATACGTGGCTTCTCATTATGATATATATATATATATATATATATATATATAGTAAATAAAATGTCGGTGTTTAGATAGAGTGGTTAGAAGTACAGAAACGAAGTAGACTTCAGAAGGAACCGGAACTAAACAGGAAGAAGGGGATAACCCTCTACTCCTGTTCAAAAAAACCTGGGTGGAGTGTAAACCGAACGATAAAAAAGGTTCAGTAGAGAATAACCCGTTGTCTTCCAAGATCGATATGCACCTGATGAAGGACGGAGCGCACAACGTTTCGACTGTTGTGCGCTTCGTCCTTCATCAGTCCAATAATTTTCTAGATTGAAATTATGTAAATAATGATAGCTCCCCATTTCAGAAATTCAGACAAAAGGTATAATTTATTGTTTAGATCTATGAAAAAAAAAAGAGGTGGTCGGTTTAAATCTGTGACTAGGGTGGGGGGGGATATGGGTTAATAAAACTGATGCTAGCGAATAAAAAAAAAAAAATTATAATCGTTAATTTTCCTTCTAAAACAATAAATTCGGCTTTACATATTTATTTAATAAAAAAAAAATTGTGTGTGTTTTATTTTAAATATTATTTCATTGTAATCCTCCGCGACAAGCAAGGACGATCATTTACGGAGAACTATATTTATTTCTACTGACAAAGGAAGATAATCCTGATTTGGATATGTGCCGCATCGTTAGTCATTTGACACACGAAAAATATCGGAAGACAAAAAAGATAATCAACAAGCTTCAGATTACGAATTGAGCTTAACTTAGGCTGGCACAAGGACACAATTATTGAGCAAATCGGACGGGATGTGCGCGTAGTTGTAACTGCTATCGGCGAACATATAGAAATCGGCAAGCAAGCACTCTCCACTCAGATGTTTGGCGCTATACAATCTTATTACATATCATCACCGCATTTTAGAATTGTACAGTACTAGGAATAATGAACAAGTAACGCATATGTTATCGACGCAGAAAGGGAAATCCGGGATCAAGAACTTTTAGCTCGTAGATTCGGCGCTATACAATCTTCCTACAATATAATTACATTATTTTAGCGTTTCACCTTTCTAAGGTATGTTCAGGTATCGTAAAATGGAAGTCAGAAAGGAAAAACTCTCCATTCGTAGGTTCGGCGCTATACAATCTTCTTACATATACTCAACTTATTTTAGCATTGCACTGTTCTTCGTGATATTCGCGTAGCGTAATTGTTATTGATGGAGAAATGGAAATAAACAAGGAATTACTCTCCATTTGGAGTTTTGGCGCTATACGATCTTCTTATATAAATATATATATTATTTTAGCATTGAACCGTATTATAGGAAGTACTAATAGCGTAATTGTTATGTACGCTGGGAGGTAAATCTGCAAGCCAGCAGTCTTCACTTAGGGGTTCGGCGCTGTACAATCTTATATATAATAACCTTATTTTAGCATTGCTCTGTCCTACGGAATGTACTGGTAGCGTAACTGCTAATGACGTAGAAATGAAAATCAGCGGGAAAACTCTTTCCACTTGGATGTTTCGCGAAATACAATCTTCTTATATATAAACACTTTATTTTAGGGGTGAGCAGATGGCATAGAAAATGGGATGAGCAAGCCGAGTTCAAATTCCGATCTAAAATGTTGCGTTCTCTTTTGCACAAATGCGCTTGGGAAAAGGAGGAAGTTAAAATTAAAACTCCCATCTATAGGTTAAATAGTAGCGTAAAATGGGCTTCTAGCCTTGAGTGGCAGCAAGTCTAGAAGAAATAAAAAAAAAACAATTCAAATCCTTGGAGAAGGCAGCGGGAAACCACTCATGACAATTCAGACACAAGAAAGGAAAGGAAAGTGTGGAGAACCGCAATCGCCTACGTTCTTATGGAATGTATCATTAGAAAAGATCTTATTTATGTCCCTTCTTGTAAGTCAATGCGTGATTTGACCGTAAGCTTACGGTCAAATCACGCTGAAAACACCGGTTCTCGTTCGATCACCGAAGTTAAGCATCGTAGAGCCAGGTCAGTACTTAGATTGGGGGACCGCTTGGGAACACCTGGTACTGTAAGCCCCCAAAGTCCAACCCTTATCTCACAGTCGGTGGGGGGGTGTAAACGGTAGTATCAGAGCTATGCCGCCCGGAAGTTCGTTCCTGGTAGGGCCACCCAAGGCGGACAGGTCTGACACACACGCCGGCTAACAAGGGCTCTGGTGAAAATCCAAGGAGCGTGTTGCGGACCCGGTAGGGTGCAGTGCTGGTTTATTACTAAGTGGCCTTGTGCCAGACACCACACTAAACTACCGCGTCTACAAGCAAAGTAAAAAAAAAAATAAAATGCGTGAATGAACAATGAGGAAAGAGGTCAATCAACAAGTGCATAATTTAAATGGTATTAAGATAGCCGAAATAAAAATGACAAAGACATCTGTTTATAAAACATGAGTAAACAAAACTTTAATTAAACAGTAACGAGTAACTCATCCCAAGATAGGGATCAATGAAAAGTGTTCCGCGCCAAAATAGAAATACAAGATGGCCAAAGGCGGGAAAAGAAAGTTTTACAGTTCCGGAAAAAGAATGTGCGCACAGATAGAAAGGAGTACTCACTGTGGATATTTTAAGTTGTAAGTGATTATGCATATTTTTAATGTACAGGTTCAAAGTTATAAAGAATGTTCGGTAAATATTGAATTGACCGCTGGTAAATGTTCTGGACTGCTGTGTGGGGCATCTAGCCGATAGAAACGAAGCATGGTCTTGTAGAATGATTTACGGCGAGCCCAAAGAGAAAGACGAAAAATGTTTTTGTTTCAAAGGTAATACTATCCCTGCCTGTATTATTTGGTTCGAAGCCAGGGGTAAGTTTAAGTCACCTGTTGAACACGAAGTTTCTGCCGACGACAGTGTCGTGTGTCTCTAAAAACGTCTTCTGGTAGAAAACGGAGAAAAAGGTCCTGACCTGTGATTAGCAATTTGTTCGTTCAGTAGGATATCCCTGCCTATACTTATTAGGCCCCTGACGAGGGATAAAAATACGCCATTAGTTGCATACGAACTTTTGCTCGCGACAGTGTCGCGTATCTCTAAAACGTCTTCTGGTAGAAAACGGAGAAAAAGGTCCGACCTGTTGGCAGCTTCAAAAGGAGAAAAAGTCTTGGTAGAGGGTGCAGTCGACATTGTTGAAATAAGATATTCCGGCCCGCATATGGGTTAAGGGCACGGAATAAATGAGTTGCCCATCCAGTCCGGTTGAAAGTCGAGAGGCAACTGCTATGTTTATCTGTGAGTGAAAGGTAGGGGTGAAAACACGCGCGCACACACGCACGAGTGTAAAACAAAGGGAGGAAACTCGCGCGCGCGTAAAATTATAAATGGAATTAATGTCAATTCCATAAGCGTCTGCATCGACAACCGGCGGCTTCTGGTCGTTCCTGTCTCTGCGTCTGTGGGAACCCCGCGGCAAGCAAGAACGTTATCCGAGTAGGCCTGGGTACCCTACTTCTGTAATTTATCCCAAGAATCTTCTTCTCATAACAGGAAGAAGCCGGCTCAATCCGCCCAGGGTGAATGCCTCATCGGTACAGTACAGTTTTAAGTCAATGGCGACAATGGAGAGATGTTCAGGGCTCCAATTGTGATTGATTTAAACATTGTTCAACTATATTCATTCAGTGATAAAAAAAAATGCTTCTAAAATCGGACACTATTTTACTATATATAAAAGTCTCCATTTTACGACGCTATTTAAGCAGGTGATTTGATTTTTCAGGTTAATCTTTAGGTTTTGTAGTAGTTTCCCTACACGCAAGCCACCAATCTGCCACTGGGTGGCATGACACTAGCGTTTACCGCTGGTGCCCCGCTGTTTGTCCGCCAGTAGTTTTACTATTGGCAGAGGCCCACCGGTGGCTGCCACCAGAGGACCGCTAGCGTTGCCATCAGCAGCCACTTAGGACCGCTAGTTGCTTACGTGTAAAATCTTATTGAGCGAAACTATATCTAGCAGTGAATTTTCTCTGTTCAATTTCCTTAACTTCTATACGAAATTTTCTATAACGGATTCATGAACCGGAGTATTTGAAATGTTTCTGATTTTTTTTTTATGATGGATTCTGGGTACGGGCCTCCACTACTTTCATTCCAGTTCCAGATCTTAGTTTCTATTTTGGAAAATTTTATTTTGAGTTTTAATTCATAGAACATTTGTTGGAGGATTTTGTTTTTTTTCTTTTCTGTTTAAGATCCTTCTTTTCGCGACTATAAATACTCCTATAGCATTGGCATATCTCCCCTCATCTTACTTATTATAAAACGCAGCTTGTATGTGTGTGTGTGTGTGTGTGTGTGTCCGTTTATATATGCGATCGGATTTCCTACATTTTTCAACCGATTTCAACAAAACTTCACTTTTTTTGGCAGGTAGTGTTTCTTATTGTCTTCCACACTTTTTTCTTTACTTTTACATTCAGAATGCTTTAAAAATTCCATTTACAAGACAATTGTTTATAATAAAATTCTATTCAATCGGTAGACTCATAACGATTAAAAACAATGTTTTTGTTTCAGTTTGGGTTTGACCAATTCGTAAAAAAAAAAAAAAAAAACTAATTAAGACATGCGTGTCCGTCAACCTTAAACAATAATCTTTGTCAATTTTATTTTTCAGTCTTTATGATGGTCGATACTTGATCTATCTCTTACTGTTACATCCCCGGGCAACGCCGGGCTCTACTGCTAGTCATAAATATATTCGCGTCAAGAGGGAAAGCAGGATTGTTGTCTTCTGTTGGTAGATTCGATTATCTGTGAGGCTGGATTATTTAAATTATCTTATTGTCTGCGAGATTATCAAGATTTATATTGTTGTTAAGGAATGGTATCATATTTGTTAGCCGCACGGAAAAATAACACAATTATAGGGAAAATTATAGGGAAAGCTTTGAGAGTCGGACCTACTGCAGAATTTTTGGTCAACAATACTTCCTGGTTTTATATTCCTCCACGTTAAATGGCACTGATTATTAATTTCTGCCAGACAGTTTCTGAGAATGGTATGTCATATTTAAAACACTGTGAATAATTGGCATTGATTTTTATCGCCCGAATTAGTAATTCTGCATAAATAGTAAGAATTATTTCTCTAAAATAAATAATTGTTGCTATCGGAACTTTGCTTAGATTACACCGAAAACTATCAATGCCATATACAATCGAAACTTTATTCCGTAAAAATTTAACTGTCTATATTATAATAGTATAGTTTTAATTTATTTTTATTTGATTTTTTATTATTTTGATTCGTTTTTTACGGCTTAACAACCCTTTGCAATTTATTTAGATTTATTGTTCATTTCTATATATCTTTTTATAAACCCTGCTGCGTGTTAGTGGTTTTAAAGATTAAAAAAAAAAAGGAAAAAGATTTGACCAGTAAGGCATTTTTAAGCAACAGCACTTCAAAAATTACGTTGTGACAACGTTAAGGATAAGCGGTCACTTTGAGGTCAGGAAAATATCTCATTGCTACGTTACGGTAACGTCGATATAATGTTACATAATAACCCCAACCAAGACACAACATGGTTAGAACATTCCGTGGGAGCTGGGAAGTCAACATAATTGACTGGTTCGTTTTTTACGGCTTATCAACCCTTTAGTATCGGTCTATATTTTTGAGATGAGGTATTATATACACTATTTACATTGCTTGGACTATCTTCCTCATCTTTGTTGCCATATTTATCACAAAGCTTCTGCCGTTGTACGCACCAGCCTTGGAATGTCAAACTGAACTCTTTATTTCGCTCGCTGGGGTAGACTGTTCTAGTTCCACGTGGTGGGAATTAATAGGAGATAACTGAGAACTGACATCCATTAGACATGGCACGTGGAACTAGAACATTCTACCCCAATGAGCGAAATAAAGGGTTCAGTTCGACATTCCAACCACCTGAAGAAGGCCGGAGCGTACAACGGCCGAAACGTTATGATAAATATGGCAACAACGATGAGGATGATAGTCCGAATAATGTAAATAGTGTACATAATACCTCATCTCAGAAATATAGATAGATACTGAAGGATCGGATAAATATGGCAACAAAGATGAGGACAATAGTCCGAATAATGTAAATAGTGTACATAATACCTCATCTTAGAAATAGAGACAGACACTAGACATCTTTTTTATTTTCATTTTAAATACTGTGATTATATACAGAGATTTTTAAGGAGCGGAGGAAGTATAACATTATTTATCTTATTTACATTGCTCAGACTATTATCCTCATCGTTATTGTCATATTCACGACGTTTCGGCCGTTGTATGCTCCGGCCTTCTTCAGGTGATTGGAATTTGGATTCGAACTCTTTATTTTGACCACCGGGGCAGATTGTTCTAATTCCACGTGGCATGCCTCTTCCGGATGCTTCAGCTGTCTCCCTTTAAACAGAAGTTTGATTAACGTAAGTAATGCAGACAATTACTCATAAATACCTCATCTCAAAAATATTGACAGAATTATAACATCTTTCAGGAAAATAATAAACTATCTACCCCAGTGGACGAAATAAAGGGATCGGTTGGAAATTCCAATCACCTGAAGAAGGCTGAAGCGTACAACAGCCGAAACATTGTGAATATGGTAATGAAGATGAAGATAACAGTCCGAATAATGTAAATAATGCAAGTCACCAGTTAAATTTATTTAAATATCATTCAACTGTTACAAACCAACGCGAAGTTTGACAGCGCGTTTAAATGAATCCCGCCCAACACTAAAACATTTGTAAATCTATTTTCACCTTCTTTGTTTCTGAATGTCTTAACACTAAAAAAAAAATGTTCTAGTGATCGAAAGAAATGAAACATTTAGTCAGTATGACGCATGCGGAAAAAAAAAACTCCACCGACCCATCTTACGATTCTTTTTTTGTGGGGAGGTTTGTTTTGCAGAGAAAGTTTTGTAATGCCATGGTGAAGAAAACACATTTTACGGTTAACAAAGCAGAACACGTTCGACGTAACGCTTCGATTACCCGACAACGTTGCTAGCAATAAACATCTGC